CATTGTGGACGACAGCGAACAGCGAGAAGGGTACAAACAGAATCGAACAAACTGAGGACCTATGCGAACCAGCTCCAGACAAAAGGTCGACGGAAGCTAGGGTATGTTAACGGGGAGTAAGCGGCCAGACAAGCCAGAACTAACGACCACATTGCGTTCGGTATCTTCTTCGATTTGTAGGTGCTTTGCGCGATTATCTCTTAACCACTCCTGTTTCTCGTCTAATACACGCGCTAGATAGTCGCTTTCGATATAATTCACTTCACGGGATTTATTGGAGTTTAGTTGCAAGAAAAAAAGCTTTGAAAATAAAAAGGTAGCCGTTCCTACAAAGCAAACCCTAATAACTCTATCGTACGTTGGTTTAGTACTAGAAATGCAAATGTTGTTGGTAGAAAATGCTAGGTATGACCTCAGACATGCGTGGAAACAGAGAACGCAACAAATTCCATTGTAGCAAGACAGTGTCTAATAGCTTATTTCAGATGCTTCTCGCTCCGTCATAACTATAGTCTACAGGCTACGATAGCCTCGTAGCTTTGGTTTTACCTTTTACCTTCTGTATGGCCTGCAAGGACCTTCGGTACGCGGAACGATGGGAACAATTTATGATTAGAAATTGTGCTAATATTTTCATAAACTAAATGCCAGTAGACGGAAAACGGTAAATGTTAGAAAAACAAATGAATATAATTTGGAGATCAAATTCCAACTTGCAGGTTACCTAATCGGCACTCAATGCACGGTACCCTTCAAACTAATTTATAACGAACATTTTGAGAATGTTTGTTTTGATTATTAGGCCGTGATGCCTTGGGGCAACCTTATTACTGGAAAAAAGCTACTAAAAAAATCCTGGTTGTCTGATCATTAAATAAAATATGGAAGAGCCATCGTTTAAATAAGTATAGAATTCTTCTATTAAAGCATACACGTTATCCAGTTGGTCCTATGACCAACGATGCCGCTATAAATTAATACGTGTAGAGAGAAGTAACGCTACAAGGTTCATTTTCGAGTTGTCGGGCTACTCGCGACTTACTTAGACAGTGTCTTACCGACACCTTACTTCGTTAACAGAGAACGCCTCAAACGGGCTATTAAGTAGTGGCAAAGGACTGGGAGATTCTTCCAACGCGCGTTGCACCAAATCGCTTAGATGATAGCTAAAACGACAGAAAGAGAACAACCGAAGGAACGCTCCCTAAGTGACATCTAGAGTCCGAAGTTCAGGGGATCGGGTTGAGAATAGAATACTTGGCTACCGATTCCTCCTAGAAGTAAGTTCTTGCCCATAAAATTTGCTTGAGATTAAGCGAGTATTTCCGCCCTAACGGCACTCGCAAGAACAGCGCGAGAAAAGTCAAAGGAATACGATACAACACATACCCCCACCGTATTTCTATAGGTTCGTTGCATTAACTTTAAAAAACAGATGCTAACTACCCCGATGAAGTTAACTTCAAAGTTACTCTTTGGTGTGGTATTGTAAATACTTAGGTCGAAAGTGCCTAACGCGGCTGTTAGCAGAGCTCCGGGATTTACAGAGCTGTTACCCAAGTATTACTTTTTTTCCTGAAAAAAAGAAATAGTTCTCATCCCAATTGAGAAAAAAAAAATGTTTAAATAATGTCGAGAAACTTATTAGGAAATTGCGGACTGTTTCAATCTAACATCTATATAATTACTAATCTGCGAGGGTACGCATGCGGAATCAAAAAGGGATATTTTCACTTCGGGTGTCCGCCAATGTAATGAATAACTATTCTGCCAACTTGAATGCGGTCACAAAGCGTTGCTCTATTCATTTTTATAGTTGTGCTCCAAACACATTTCGTTACCATTGTATTCAAATAGATATCTTGTATAAATATGTAATAATGTATATCTCTTAGACTCAGTACCAGATCTATATGTGCTTAACGTGCTCTACAAGCTACCATTAAAGCCTACCACTTAGTGACAAAATATGTATATGTACTCAACCAATACCATTGATGATGGTATCACTGAATCGTCCGTTACATAATCGTTACATAAGTGGTGCTTATTAGGACAACGTGCACGGCCCCGAGTAGACCATTATGAAACAACACATCACCCATCTGCGTCGAGTTGCTATTGTTAAACAGACAAGGAAATACGTGCCGACCCCCTGTTCATTCAAACCGTTCGCTTCAGGCTCACTTTGGTTTGATTATTTTACTATTCCAAATTTTTGCAAGAGCGGACCTATAAAATGACGGACGGATAATGACGCAGTGCTAAATCATATGGTGATGGCTGATAATGGCACAACGTGAACATTTGGCTTTGGAAAACGAACTGTGAAGGAGCCATCGAATGGACCAAGAAACTGGTCAGGTAGGGCCACCCTTTCTGGGTCTGATCTCGATCGGGGAAAATAGGAAGGGACTGAGGGAGCTATAAAAGAACCGGGCTTCCTTCGGCTATCTTTGATTCGGCGAAAGGAATGCACAAGAAAAGGCCAAAGGTCGGTCGAGCATGTTGAAGTGAGGGGGGTGACAGCGTGAGCCTCTAGTAGAAGTATACTTATTCCTTTCACCTTGCCGTTATTTCGCTCGTTGTTTATTCCTTCTATTTCTGCTTGTTCTCATTCTCACCAGACCTCATCTTATCCCTGCAGTATAGAATGGAGGGTAATGTACACTGATTTCACCATAGCCAGAAACGGAATACCAACAGCAAAGAAGCCGTAGCGGTGAGAGCAATGACGCCAGTTTCAGTTGGGAGTCCCGACTGGTTAGGAAAATGGGCGTAGGTCGCTCTGCAACGGAGGAGGGTCGGTCATCAGGACCTCAGCAAGGGTGTGGGACTAAATGGGATCGGGGGTTTGGGGAACGAGCTAGGACAGTCTTTGTCGGCTTTTGTCCGCGCCCGCCCAAGTAATCAAGGCCACCGAGGTCTTACTACTACTGCCTTGGCTAGCTGGTGGCTTCGTCCACAACACCACCACCGTCATCATCACCAATGTGGTGTTCTCGGTCATTCAGGTTCCTTTTGCCCGCTTCCTCCGCCTTGTTTTATCTGTCTGCCAGCGAGACATCGAGAAGGTCTACAACAGAAGGCTTCCGATCAGGTGGCTAACTTAGACCGAAGAATATTTGCGCGCTATTGTATATGCTAGTATTATCGTCAGAGCTACTGAGGATGCACTTTCTGCGCGTAGATTATGCTCCCAATGAAAGCTCCTATATGCTTCAAAAGTCAAGTAAAGAAACCAAGCGACTGCTCTATTATTTTTAGGCCTCAGTCCTTAATTCAATTAGTTACAAGTAAATATTTAATTAACTAATTTAATAATTAGATAGTTAACTAACGGAAAGCAGATATTATAAAAACAACTTGAAAATTGGCCCGTGTGAAAAAATAACGGATACGTACTTTACTTTGTACATGAACAATGAAAAGTATCACAGATTAAAAGAAATGGCAGTTTACGATAACTCGAATGTTTAATAGCCGAGATTATGGAAATTCGAATCGTATTGCTAATTAAACTAAGTATCAGTAAAACGCTTCTTCAGCAGCTGTCTGGATTTGCCTTTGGCGTTCGTTTTGATTAAGGACACAAGAAAACGTAATTAGATTTCCATTATATTTACCTGATATTTCTTTTGGGGTCGAAACGCACGCACCAAGATCTCCTAGCTGCCAAGGCCCATATCAGAGAGATCTCGGCCGATTCGGGCCTGTCATTAGTTCGACACGTGCATGTACGAAGCGCCAGAACAACTGACCACACTTTTATCGATGTATTGCAAAGGACAACGTTTTACAAAATTGTGAGAGTGCTATTTTCTGTTAACGTTAGCATGTTTTTCTCCCTAGCGCTTGCATAGATTTCAGACGATCAATTTAAAGCGTCTGAAGTCGCATAAACATTAACGGTTGTATTAATGCGTATTCTTTTCTACGTATATGCCGGGCATTTTATTAGTACTTAGAGACAGGCTATATAGTGATACGATTCAAACAGTTACTTCTTTATTAGTGTTCCAACAGGGTCAATATTAGGTCTTTCACTAATACTAACATTGTACATTTCAAATGCTCACAATAAATACTGTGTTTCGGGGGTTGATTCTCACTGGTTGTTTAGCACTTCATTCACTGCCCTACAAAAAAGGAACTCTATCAGTGAAAAAAAACTTAGCACTCACGAACGATTGCCGTTCTAGTAGCCAGGACGGTTGCAGTAGTATGACCACACGCACGCACGCACGCACGCACGCACATGTAGGTATACACCTGCAATACTTTGCCCCGTGCCCGCGAGCTTTTCTGGCACAATATATCTATCACAACCTATTTTTGCAGTGCCTTTTTTCCTCTCAGGACTCTGTGTGCCCCGAGTCCCATACGGTCCCGTGGCGGGCTCCGGGGCCGTCTGACCGCTGCTACTAGTGGTCATTTCCTGGAGGCAGCGGTGAAGGCAACGTCGTCGTCAGTACCCCATTGGCGAAAACCAGCAGTAGCTGCAGCTGGTAGCTTATTACGTAGCGGTCGGCGACCAGGCGGACGGAATCTAAGAGCTGCAGTTCTGAGTTACCCCTCAGCCCGAGCAACCGTGTCCGCCGACTAGGCCAATGTGCCGGAAGAACGACTGACTGCGTTAGCGCCGCCGAAAGGCGTCGGCTCGACGCAACTCCACTTAGCTACTGCGATTGCTGCTACAACCATTACTATTACGGGGCCAACCAAGACAGCAAGAGGGTCGGACAGATAGAGCACGGAGGGAGAGAGAGAGGGGGGGGGGGCAAGAAAGGGATCGAGAGAGTGAGAGGGAGAGCGAGAGATCCGATAGTCTGCACCGAAGAACACGGCGCGATTGCAGCGACACCCCAACGGTACATTAGCTGGCAGGAAAGGGCTTAGGTAGGGGCTCTTACGTTCCGACCGTGCTGGTCGAAGTTGAAATCATCTACAAACGTTAGACAAGGTGGCAATGCTTCGGCCGTGCTGTACAAGCAGGCCTGTCGAAAACAAGATCGTTGCCGTCGTTGAAGCCGACAATTGACTACTACACAAACCAGGAGGTTTTGGGACCACTCGAAGACGATCGTGAGCTTATTTAACCGATACAACGGAGCTGCTCAAATACGTTCGGAGGTACGTATACCGCCGAACATAGCTCCAGAATAGCATTTACGGAAGCCACTGATGGTCTGGTATTTTAAGTTTTCTATTCGAGACGATACGTGGGAAATGCCTGGCAAGCTATAAGCATGATGTAAAAGCATTGGCTTACGGTTGCTATCACGAACGTTTTACATGCTGCGTTCTCCACAGAGTTGAAGCTTTATATTACAATAGGTAATAGCTTTCCTTTCGTACAATAGATTTCAAAAAAGAGAGGTATTTCCTCATCGAGATTAGCGGAACTGGGCAGTTCATCCATTACGACTGCATTGTACAGGGTGCATTTTTTGTCTCTACTTTTTATACTTACTATAAGTTTCGTTGTCGCTATCGGAACTAGGTATATGAATATATTCTATCATACCTTCATTATGTGGCAGCTATTAAACACAAAGTAAACTTTTGATTTGTCAGCTACCATTGCCGCAACGGTGCTATCATGATACTACTGTCAATCTGATCTGGGCAGGCGGAGCGCTGTAACGAAGAAGCTTTCTATTATCGCTTTGTTTGCCATTATTATTAGGAGGCAATCCAGCATCTAAAGGAAATAAGTCGGCTGTTATCGGAAACTATTTGTTTATTGCCGTCTACCTAAGTGACAAGCAGTTTACTCTTTCAGATATCAGTTTTGTACTCTGGTCAGATAGTTACATAATTATTAATACTAGTAAACTCTGACGAGATTTTTCTGTGCTCTCAGTCAGTCAGTCAGTCAGCCAGCGATGTTGACCTCATTGTTTATGGATAAAGGAGGCGTATTGAAATCTTCTAGAGCTTGTCCATCGGAACGTCTTCACTGCAAAATGCGTGTTACATTGTCGTAACATTCAATAAGCCAAGCTTCTCAGGTTAGAAGAACTCGTCCTTATTGATAATTGTACAGTTATCTAGGTTGGCGAATACAACAAAAATGTATGTCTCTACAAAGAAAATAGTACCTTGTTCGTGGCCTAAAAATTACACTGCGTAACGCACAAAAACAGTTCAATTTAGCTACATTTAACTGGTCGGTATCAAACTTCCCTAAGCGGTAGAGTATTGAAGTAGATCTACTGTGCAAGCTGTGATAATTATAATACGTTCTGCTTCAAAAACAGAGCATTCGGGAGCGAGGGGCAGTTAATGTTAGATTACGAAATGTTCGATAAAAATAGAACAACTTTTAGAGACAACAAACAATCATTTTTGCACTCATGACGGAATTTTTCTACCTCTAGGGAGCTTTTGTGAACGCCGATAAACGCACTCTCAACTTATCGTTATAGAACTACTCAGAAGCGTTTGGCTTCCCTCTTACATTTACAGTGTGCTTAGATATACAAAATATCTAAGATTTCAAGATAGCTAACGCCAGAAGACTACCAAATAAACGAACAGAATTTATTCAGGCTAGCGGTCTATGATGAACCAGACAGGCACCGTTTCACCAATGAAATCCACGGTGCGTTCTCCGCATCGTTACGGTACTGGCATGAACAAAGCTATCTTATGCCAGTTAATGTGTGGCAGTAGCCAAGTCTGATGCACATGGTTTCACAGTTACGTAGCCCGTCCTTTCTGACGGCAGTAGCGTCAATCGATTGGCTGCAAACGGGTTTTGCCATTACAGTTCCATGATCAACACTGAATCGTTTAACTTAGATATGATCTATTATTACGACGCTAATACATGCGCTGTGATGGAATAGATCTGAGTCAATCAGATCGCGTAATCGACCAATACTATCTTTAGTACGTTTATGCATCTAGTGTCTGGGCGAGGCCGTATTTGTCTACTTGTTCACGCCAGAAATCAGATCAGGCTTGCACAAGTAAGTGTAAGGACGAATAAGCAAGCGTTCATTCGATGCGAAGTCCCGAAGGCCTTCCCTGCACCGCCGATATACGTTCTTGTCGCCACCAGCATCATTGAACTACAGCTTGTGCACACGGAATCAGCAAACAAAAGCTAAAATGAATGAGCTCTAGCCACTATCTATGTACGCCGAATCTATATCGAGTTAAGGCATAAACATATTTTTACACTTATCTATCTGCGTACATGCGTGTCCGTAGAGCCAGTGGTTTATCTGTACATGCATATGTGTACATATGTATCATCACAGAATACACTTTTTAAGTACGATCAAAGCTGTTTGTCGGTTGAGCGTGTTTAAACTAGGTATTGTCGCTAGATTGTAAGCTGTCAATGGACGCCAATGTAGCTGAATCACGCTTCGCCAAACCTGATAACGGACTCGAATGAAGATATCACGCAACGGGAAGCTGCTGCTTATGAAACGCGTAACTGATCAGTGCATGCTCCCGCCTCTGATTGCCATAACGCTACTGTTTTAATTAACGGTAGTCGAAACACAACAGTAATAATGATAATGCTACTGGCCAGATAAAGCCAATTGGCCTGTCATTCAAGGATGACAATGACGAGAGGGGAGGAACTCGTAAAAAAGACAAATGTGTATGCCGGGTACTCCTGTTTAACCGCCGTCACACATGCACTTTTACACGATAAGCATTGGTTGAAATAAATGTTGTAACCGTCAATCGGTGCCATAAACATTACAAGTGATGATGAATTATAATTTTTATTATTATATATTTTTGTTTAGACAGATGGTTGAGGAAGCGTACAAATCAGATAAAGCAAGCGAGTCTTTGTTGCTGGAGAGCTGCTCCTGACTGCCGCGACGGTTTGTGCGCCTTTCGGTGTTGTGACTTCATGAAAATGGGTGCAAAAAACCGATCCTCTTGCTATTCTCATGTAACAACCCCTAGGGCTTCCGAAAAGGGTAGGCCGAAGAACCTATACTGGCACGTATGTTGCTCGCACGGGCTGAAGGTACGTCGTGTCCACAGAATGAATAGGTACTCAAACAAATGTATTGAAGCGGGAACGGGCGTAACGGATATCCTTCTGGGCGATTACTAAAAACGTATGGTTCTGTTTCGTCGGACGCTTGTTTTTCTGCTGTTATCATGATCGAAACGACTCGAATGACGAATGTATCAGAAATGTGCCTAGAGCACTGGGCTAGGTTAGAATACACTTCGTACCAGGGCCGAGCATAGAGGCTAGTTCTAGCCCTTTGGCTTGTTAGGCCAATTGGCCTAACAAGAAAACACTTGGTGACAGAAGCTCTCAGAAATGCACATTTTCACAGGCTACGCTATATTGTACCAGGTTATTGTGAGGATCACTTTTTGAAACATAATTAATTATATAGCTTACATTTACAGACACAGCTCCCTATTATGAATGATGACGGAGCTGAATTGGCGGATTATTGTTGTTATTTAACGAACGCATGTTCGCTAATACGCTAAGAGGCAGGTTGCCAAATGTTAAACCACATTAGAATAAAGCTTATCTTAACGAGTGGCACCGATTTCCGATATGAAGATGACTCATATACAAGCAACTCAAGAAAATTCATAGCTTATTTATAGAGGCTGTAATAGACGAAAAAGAAGCGTACACCGACGTCAGGCAAGCAATTCGGTGGTTGAGGTCAGTCGCCGCTGCTATTCATGTTATGGCAAACGTATAGCTTCGAGTAACCGTTACCTCAGTCATTACGTGCATTCGTTGTACTTTTCTATTTGCCGAACTTTCTATTCTGTTCTGTTTCAACTTGAAGCTCCGTACCATTATCCGTGCCCACGTGAGAACGATTGCTCATACAAGGCCGCCGTACCCCATCACAACCAGCTTTTGTCGCAGACTTTCAGCTAGTATAGTATGGTGCGCTGCGGTAGCTTAGACTATGCCTGGCGACGGACCCCGCAACCGCGAGCTCATCATTGTTCGTAGTTCTCAACCTTAATCTTGGCTCCGATCTGCTCACGAAACAACGAACACAAAGGCGGAAAGGGAGAACTCTCTCTCTCTCTCTCTCTCTCTCTCTCTTTTTTTTTTTTTTTCTTTCTATCACTGTTTTGTCTCTCTTTTAGTGGTGTCCCATCCCCAGCATACCCCTTTCCACACTCACGCACACATACAAACACAGAAACGTACATACGCGGACTTCCTATCCCTTCCATCCTGGCAGCCGCGCACCCTTCCCTCTTACATTCACCCCAGCCTCCGACTCGCCCGTAAGAGAAATAAACTGAATTGCTACGAGTGGGGTTTGGTGCAAGTATCCAGGCGAGGCAAGCAAGTGCCCTGTACCCCGTCCTCCATGCCCACCACAGCCCCCGCTCCCCATGGAAGGAGGAAGACGGCCTTTTGGAAGAGAAACGCTGCGGAAGATAGAGATGAAGCTCCAGTCGACGACGGCCAGAAACGGGCCAGTGGATGCTGCTACTACTACTGGCATGGCCGAGATAGTCGACTCGCGAATCGGCGCTCGGAGACAATGGAGTTCTTGGCTCAGTGGTACTCGGATGCCGGCAGGACGGACAGACAAGCGGGGTGAGTGAGGTCAGTAAAAGCCCCCTGCTGCTTGTGGGGAAACTTGCGAAGTGCTGGCACAAAGAGGGAAGAACGGTGACAACGACTAGCGACGTGTGTTCCCGTGCTATCGCGTCCCCCCTACTCTCACATCCCCTGCAGCCTGGCCAGGCCATCGTAGCCCCGGGAACTCCGATGATAATGGAAAACGACTGCCTTGAAAAAGAGCTAACGAAATCGACAGAAAACGACAGACCGGCAGACAGAGGACACCGCTTTGAAATGAGCTTTCAAACAATCAGATATTCGTTTCGTAGCCGCTTAGGAAATAAATATACTTTAGTCTGTATACTGATTTAATGGAGACAGTATAGCAATGATCATTACACATAATTTCGCCTAGCAGTACTAATAGTACGCTATTCACAAACCATACAAAATTATTTGTCTGTATATGATATGTTACTGTTATACGATACATTTGCCTTTAACATAGTACAGCATTGCTATAGCTTTAAAGAGATCTCCTCTGTCTAAATTAGGGTGTAAAAATTGCTCTGTTCGATAGGTCAGTGATAGGGTATATGTATATATTTATACTTATAGTTCATTTTTTTGCATATGTATAGAAATACCGATGTAGCAAAATTAGAAGAGATCGATGAACAACAAGAAACGCTGAACTGTCGGTGTTTGATCAAAGACTGGGTGACGATTAAATTCGAGAAGCCAGCCACATCATTTAAGTCATTATTTTGGGTTTTATTGGCTAAAAATCGTCCCATCTTAAATTTCTGTGGCCTTATGTGGCCGCTTTTTACTCACGACAACCCAGATGGTAGGCGTATGCCGCTAGCTTTATCCGGCTGGGCTGTTCAAGATCGATTTCAGCAGACGTTGTTAGTACCATATCTCCTGATCAGTCCCAGATGACTACGACGTGAGCCCGTCACTCCGCCAATACACCGTTGGACCCTGTGCGATTCCCTCATCATAAATACCTCCCCGTTCCGCTCAATCATTGGCGAACTAACCAGCAACAATGACCAACCGATATCCACGATTTTCTGGACATATATTTTTATTCTGATAAATACACACCCAAACGGTAAGCGTTATTTGAAAATAAAAGAGGAAAAAAGCATAGAGAAAAACGCATCTCAGAGGACATTAAACCTTGACCAATATGCCGTTTGCCATTCAACGTTTTGATCACTATTGAATCTGGACTGTGATAAATTGTTTCCATTGGCTCTGACTATGAAATAGCAGTTACACATATACCTTTACCGAACGGCAATGTAACCTTCGAAACCATCAAGCTTTCTCTGATGGGTTGTGTATGCTTCTTACTATTCTTGTTGCTCGTAAGCAACGATAACAAATCATTACGGCAGCATTTTCCAATTGCATCGAATTGTCCAAACTATGCCATTTTAACTATTGGCTGTACGTAAACTGTTCATAGGTAAACGGTCGCTGTTTTACGGTTGGCAGCCCTGCAATCGATTGTGAGCAGTGACTCTGAGACACCATACGTTAGGAACCTCACCTTGGCCTGTTCGAAAATTGCGGTTCTTCTCTCGAACGGAAAAAGATCGCCAGATACTCAAAACAGCCATGTGCACCCTTCAATATAATACTTGTTTGTACAATACTACATACAAGACCGATAGGCACCACTTAGAGGCTAAAAAAAAAAGATAGTTTTCAAGTCTGCATTTATCCAATTCGACAATGAAAGTAGTAGTAGTAGCTGCGCTAATATACTGTTGGAGCACAGATCTACCCCACTACACCTGCCCCTATAGCATAGTGGATTGTGCGTTGGAGTTCTAATCCAGGGGCCGCGGGTGCGATCCTCACCAGGAGTATTTCTTTAGAAACATAGCCAATAACTTAGTCAAAATCCCTTCCAGTCGTTAAATGATGAACGAAACAATAAAGCCAAGTATATCAACAAATCCCATACATTCCGAGAAGCTTAGTATTCAATGCATTTATTAAACTAAGGGCCTTATACTGCCTCATTAGCCTTTATCATATATGTTCCGTGAAAAATAACTTACTATAATGAAGCTACTATTTAAATTTCTAGTTTGACTGCTTGGCGTAGGAGAAGTTAGAAACTACATTTCGGCGTGTAAAAATTTAATAAGTCGTTTAGTTATCTTATGGAAGAATTCTGTGAATCTAAAGCTGGCCTAGACCTTACTGTCGAAAGACAAGAGTTTCTGCATGTGTCAAAGTTTAATAAACCCCTTTAAGTCCAATTGAGAAATGTGTCTTTTTTGTGATTAATTAGAGCGAAGAAGTTGTTTATTATTTTTGCCATAAAGATAATGTGTACTTATACATGAATATAGTATAGTATATATATATATATTGTTCTGTTGACGACGTCATCACACAGACTACGATAAGCCAATGATTGCAACGTTTAGGTAACCATAGAATATTGGGCATTCTTCAGATTAAAAAGCACAAACTTTACAAAAAAAAAAAATTCAAATATAATTTATCAAATTTGTGAAATGGGGAACTTTAAGCAATTCTCGCAGTGATTTGTCGTCGAAAGGACTGAAATCTTCCAACATGAATATCCTCGACAGGTCCGGTAATATCATTTGCAGTACCATGTGAAGCAATTTTAATGTAACGAAATAAAGAACAGTTATATTCAGACACGATCCAACTTAACTGTGCATTAAGCTGATATCTAGATCTTTACCAAATTTCAATTGAAAATAAAGCCCGCTACTCGACGATTTTGAATCTGGCACCCCCACTCAATCCGCTAGGCAGGACTCCACTTATTATTCGCTCTCTGCTGTTTATTACTTGTAGTTTAGTAAGCAGCTGCATGTATTGTTAGTCCGTTTGATCTGCTATATTAGATTCTCTATAAAGCCGCTGATTCTTCGTCCATGTTTCAATATGAACTTTATTTCCGAATCCACTCAAAGCTGCAAACATTCTGTTTTAATGTTTGAGACCATTTTGTTACTTTCTTTTTTTAACTGTCAAAATGTACTAACTGTAATCTATCTATTGAAGTTAGGCACAAGTAAGCTGTATAACCCCGACAAGCCGCTGTTATCGGGAGGAACCACCCGCACTTCATCGATTGAGGGCTACAGATGCGGAAGCACTTACTGGGGGTATTATATAATTAACCAAAGGGAAAAAGTGGAACTCTTGCGTCGGGGTTTGGCCAGGATTATCAAGTTCCCCGGCCTCTGTACGCTAGGTCTTCTACAAGCCCTTTCAACTCCGATAGGAACCTGTGACCTCTATAGTTCTTGGGAAGAAAGGAGTATTAATCAAGAGAAAGATAAGCTTCTACACACAAGCCGTCGATGCAATCTATTGTCGATGGTTTTTTCTCGTAGCGGGGCCCTATAGTAAGCCGTCGCATTGGTAGAGCGTGGCTGTTATCTTCATTATCGGACAGGAGTTCCAAGATGAAATTTTCATAAAAAAACAAACCTGTTGTTCACCTCGTAGCCCATTACGATGGTAAAGTGTAGTCAGTTTGAAACAGCCAGACAACTCAAGTTACGAGCATTCTTAGCGTGATTACTCGATGGATAACGCTTGCGAAATCCAAATGTAGTTTTACATGTATTAAATGGGCATTGATATGTCCAGGGGAGTTGGGCCAAAAGTGGAAAGTCTAGAGAAAGCAGGAGATATGAATGCTGTGCTCAGTAATACTTTTAAATATTTTATTCAATGCTATCTATCCTCTGTACTTTTCGATTCAACTATCATTAATTCAAGACAAATCCTAGTTTAGTACGAGACTTTGCTGGGGAAGCCTAACTGTGAGTTGGTCTTGACTGTTCTTCTTTTTTTTTTTTTACTGAACGCTATTATACGTGATTTGCACATAGTAGATACATAGTGAATAGGACCAATCGAGTCCTATTCACGGAAAGGTTCTATCCTGCGGCAATAAGCATCCATAGGATCACTGTTATATTTTTAAACGGAACTGGGACGACACTTTTGTCTATAGTCTACCATATAGAAAGAGCAAAACATGATAAATGCACGAGCGTAGTCGCGGTCGACAACTTCAGCTGCATCTGGATTTACTTCTGTGAATGACCTTTTTTCTCGAGTGGTTATTTACGCTTTGGAGAATACACTGTATCATCGTTGGTATGAATTTGTGCGTTGCGAACTCTGACAAGGGTTCTGACAGAACTGCAAAGTCACGCTACGCTGCGTTTCCACGGAGACTGCAGGTAAACGAGGAATAGTGGCCTAAAGGCAAGCAAGTGATCTTGATGAGAAGATATGTTCTCCACGTTTCTTTGGGTCCCTTTCCCTCTTTTGGCCTGCAATCTCCGTTTTCGTCGGGTGGGTCGTCTCCTATATCGTTGAGTCGTTGCTTTCGACTTCATGAGGTTCCGCTGCCCCTGATTGGCTGATCCCTGTCTGCCTTCCCGCTACCTCGATCGCTAGCTCGCACCAAGCGTGTCTAGTCCAATCGGCTATGCTCGCGCATTCTGCTAGACGATCCTTCGTCTTCGAGCGTGTGCTACAAAGGTGACGGGTAAAACAGAACAAAGGAGGGCCCAGCAGCAAAAGGCGGTGTACCTCCAGGTCGTTCGCTGGGGCTCGGTCGGTTTATACAACGGAGGCAGCAGGATCCTCTTCACTCTCTACCACGAAACCAGGTACAACTAAATGATGTGATGGGGTGAACGCGACTAGTAAAGGAAGGAAATAATCAAGATGCATTGAAATAGCACTCATCGACGAAGCGCTACTGTCCGCCATCTCCGACTTAAGAGACCGCTTGTTTTGCGTCCATCGTTCTTCTCCTCAATATCATTCACCATTCAATACGAACATCATCCCTCTAATAGTCAGGTCATTGAGTGCCCTCGGATTCCTAAAGAAATAACAAGGAAGAAGCTCAAACAGTGTACTGTTTGCTATTGCCAATATTTAACCGCGTCTCACACAGTTTAACAGTATTTGGTATAATAGAGATTTCCTTAAGTTATCTTTACTGAGATGGTACTCAGTTCAAATTGTCCGGTCAAGTGCTCAAATTATATTGGGAAACTTGCTGGAACACTTACAGATGGCAACTCAGTTTTTCGTAATGTTAATCTTGTACGATTTTGAAAATCTACCATTTAGGCAATGTCGTGCACTCGTTGCAGCACAAAATGAATCCCAACGTAACATTCTCCTTTTAATTGTGGTGCACAACGTCTCCTAAAGGCATAAGATAAAACAGATATAAAGCGCAATACGGAGGGGTAACGTGTACTTTGGAAACATGGTTTAAATTACGTCTGCTTAGCAACTACTTCTCTGATATGGGAAACAATCGTGGATTGAACTTACAGACACACTGTCTGAGAGCAATCGAACGCGCAAAATCTATCGTAAACCACAATCTATATGTGGATTATTTCGAATAAATGTTATAGTATATATAGTATAGAATGCCACCATTGTCCTCATAGACCGAGTCTATATGTACAGCTCCAGCATGCTTCAACAAAACGAAAGGCACTCCGATCTAAGTACTAGACTTCTTAGCTATCCCGTGTGAGACTCGAATCTATTTTTTGTAGCGGCCCCCATCGAAGATTTTGCTGCAGTGCCCTGTCTGATCGGACTGCTTGCTCATGCCCCTACAGCAGCGTCTGTTATGTTTCAGCAACGAGCTATTATGATGGACAAGATATGATGGTTCGTCGTTGATGCACTTTTCGTGTTGACCCTCGTTGAAGAGGGTCGTTTGCCGTTGTTCAGATTTCCGCCGTTGTGCTAGGACGAAGTGTTTCCACAGTGTGCGCTTGTCATCGTTATCAGACTGGGCTGGCTTGGATATCTGGTTACCAACCTCGGGTGGCTTTCGCGTTCGAATAATTTTGTCCTATGCCCTGTACAATACCGTAGTAGATTCAGTAGATTGCTGACTTCAGAGCCTTAGCAAGAGAGGTCATAGTTAGAAGTAGGGCCACCAAAAAGTGATCAATTGCGAAAACCATTCCCTCCATTAATTTCACTTCGTATCGATTCAGTCTCCCTCTGTGTTCCGAGTTTTACGTACACTATATCACCGTCCATCGATCTGATCACCGGGTCGCAGCACGGAACAAAGTATGTCTACGTCCGAATTCGAACCTAAACCAGAACGTGTCCGTAATATTAGCGAGCAAACGCGCTACCCACTAGTCTATCACGTTCACGAAAATCGTTGAAAATATCTCCGATTCGACAAATAGCAGTACGTAGACAGGTCTGACTAAATAGTCTGGAAATTCAATTGGTTGAAATCGGTGTCCTTAGGGAATAATTATTTTCGTTGGTAAATACATGTAGATACGTGTGTAACACCAAGTCTTTATTTTGCACTGACGGGTACCGAGGTATTACTAATAGCGATGTTAATTATCTGTGAATAAATATTTGGGGTCTAGTTGTTAGGGTGTGAAGCAGCCTTCGCAATGGGACCTAAAATCTTTGAATATTTAAAATAGGTTTTGATTTTATTGCTTACATAAAAAAAGTCGTTTTTATTTTCTTGCTTAAGCAGCAGGCAAACCGCACTTTTCTTTCTGACACTTACTCGACTTTCGTTCGGGTCTATTTTCAATATAAAGGGCCTCATGCACAACCTCAGCGACGCTCCGCCACGATTTATCCTTCGCCTCTGGCCTTTGCACATAGTACCCTCGACTATCGTTGAGGTCTTCGTGTGGGCGGGCTCTACGTTGTATTTTTCCACAAAAGGCAGATGGGTCATTAGAAGTCCAAACCGTTTGTCCCCTAGAAAATGTAAAGGCGAAGAGAAGGGGGCTATGGAAAACAAGGGTTCCCCACAGCCGTGCACATATACAACATACAAACACGCATGTTGCATGCTTGTATCGAAAAGTACGGACGACTGAGTCTATTGTTTGTTTAGAAAGGAGCCCGTTGAGCCATTGTCGGCAAGAAGCTCCAATCACCACTATTCAAGATTCGGTTGTAGATGTATACTGCCGCCATTGGCATGGCTGTTCTCTTATGTGGAATTGTTGTATGCTAGACCAGAGAGAAACGTGCATCGTATTGGCGAGATAACGTAGATATATGTACCTTAAATAGTTAAAAAGTGTAAAATGATTATATCAATAGTGGATACAACCCCAGGAAATACGTGATCTTGTCTAAGGGAACCAAATAATAAGGATTCAGTCAGCTTA